TTTCTTCTCTAAGCACGGAACGACATATTTTCTGTCAACTGTAAGCTGAACACTTTCGATCAGCGTTATAGGCATCGTTTTCTCGGAACGTACGAAATAGTTCTAACCGAAATACGAAAGATTCCAGCAGCGCTAGTGAAAAAAGTAGTCTGAGTTTAAGAAGATTCGCGGCAAGAAGCTGCAGACCTGAGAGACGTGCCAGGTTTTCGACGATGTAAACGCCGAAGTGCACACACTATGGAAGAAGTAGGCTAGTCGGGATTATTCTTGTTAACCGAGGTTTGACACCTAGCGGACGAAAGAGAATGAAGCGATAGCAACGAGAATGGTTAAAGTGACAAGTTGCGTCAAATAGGTACGAAACGTCGTAACCATCTATCGTACTTGTCCTACACGATAAACCCGCCGTACGACAAAAGGTGTCATGTGGCATATCAAGTCGACTTGACTTTTGTCCTACTGGCGTATACGAAAAATTTCTTTTCAGCCCATTTCTAGACGTGTAAGGGGCATAAGGACAGGCAATAAAGTTTCTGCAAGACAGATAATTTAGTTCAAAGTCATATGGCTTGCGTGCCATCGTAAACAAGCAAGGTGTTGAATATTACACACGATTTACGGAGGTACACTATTTCCAGTGCACCTGTACATTGCAGAGTACTGAATATGGATCAGCGTACGAATTTTTCGATGGAAAAAGTACAAAATACAGTCGCGCATTTAGCGACACGTTGCCATTGGAATTTAACGCGTTCAGGAGCGAATATTCCCTTCTCCACCTTGCACTCTCCATACGCAGTAACCCCAATTCGTAAGTCAATGCAAGTAACACTTTGCGCGTTGTACTCGCTGGTAAAAGTTCAACCTGAAGCCCCTACCGATCGTAGCGTAGCCACCGATCGGGTTTTTTCCCAGCTACAGCGATACATTACTCGTTATCTTTAAGGAAATTTTCTGGCTGTTTTCTTTCAGGCATTTAATGAATGAACTTTGCACTGCTAATTTCGCAAAATATCCTACAATGTGAGAAAACAGTGGTCTTCGGATTAGAGATCGACAGCCGTACCGTATTACGGGCCGTAGCCGTACCCGTACCCGTATAATACGGGTCGGGTACGGTACGGGGTGTTCCAGTACGGTACGGCGTACGGTACGGCTACCTATTTCAGGTACGGTACGGGCCGTACTAGTAGTAAAAGTGCAACATGTTTGTCTTTGCTTGCATTCCGACGATCCAACCTAAGAAATCAGAGGACTAGAAAGTTCATATGTACGAGCCACGTAGTGAGGCTAGCGAATGCTTCTTTCATTTTATTCCCCACGTACTCCTGCGGCAATCCAAACAAAGGCAGGTCAAGTACGAACCGGACAGACGCCCTTTGAGTTTGCACCTACCAGGCCAATACGTCAAACTGATCGGACAGCAATTGAGTTCCACTAGAAACAGATCCTGTACTATAGGCCACTCGGAGGAAACCAAAGCGTATCTCGTGGTCAAAGAGCGTTGAAACATGTTGAAACAAGTGTTTACGATATAGTTTGTGATTTTACATTGTGTATTTCTAGTTTGTAGTATCTAAGCTCAGACTAGGCGCACACGACACACTTAATGCCAAAAATACCAAAAGATGTGGCCTGCCCAGCGCAGCAGACCAGCTGATCCAATCCCACATTTACGTGGTGAAACAGGTTTTTGTTCGGACAGCGACGTTAGGCGGAGGCCCTGTCAGATGATTTGTTAGGCGTGACATAGAACGGTGCAGGGGACTGCAAGTCAGCGCTCAGCAACTATCATGCATAGCCACAAAACGTCATGATGCATTTTGCCAGTTGTTGTTCCTAGTCCGAACCTCAGCTCAGTTCTTAAGTCTTGAAAGAGGTCGGATCTCAGTCTGGCCCCATTCGCCTTAACGATCTTGTCGTACGGTTCGGTCATTTGTCAAGCGGCATTGGAGATCGCTTTGGTATCGGGAACTAAACAAGCGACCACTTTCTAAAAACAGAGGGAATGAAGGCAGGGCAAGTTGAAGAACTAAAGTGCTCTCCAAGCACCCCTTATTTTACGCGTCGCGTCGTATTAAACTGGCCATAATCGGGTTGAGTTCCCTTCGAGAGAAATTGTCACGGTCCATAGAATTTTTTACCGAAATCGTGGGGCTCTCCGCAAGCTTCTGCAAGTTGCATATCGGTGCAAACGGGACGCTAAATAAAATGTTAAACTTGTTTTCCATATGTTACTTTCATTCAAATTGCTATCCTTTCTACTCAGGTTTTAAGAATTACTTCTTCAGAGAAAGAGAACTGTTCTGATAAAAGCAGTCAGTGACACCCACGGCGTAGCCTGCCCAAGTGCCCAGATGGCACAAACAATCAGAAGTGGGTACACAAGAAGACCCAGGTTTTGGTCAACAGAGAAGCGCCATGATACGAAAGAAGCGGTCTAAACAACCCTAATGCATCCATTGGGCTAAGAAGTAGCCCATGAACGACGGCTAAGTCGCTGTTTACCACGCAAATTAAGGGGTTCTAAAAAAGCAACTAAAATGTGCTTAAGACAAAGCCCGAAGGTAAAGCAGTAGAAGCGCAGTTGACGTGCCTAATCTGCGGAGCCTAGTATTGAGCCTGGGTTTTGCATAAAAACCAGCGAAGCTGCACGAGTCGAAAAATCCAGGCGAATCAGAAGACGACGATACCGGCAGGTTTTAAAAGTTGTACGCCTAGGAGCGAACGATATGAAAGAAGCGGGCTAGGCAAGATTGGAATAGGCAAAAACACGGCTTGCCCCTTTGTCTTAGGGCTTTTTGAGCTTGTGTACGATAATCTAAACTGCATCCAAGCAAAGACATTTTGATTGCTTGTAGCCCTCATGTGGACAACCTCTTCGGAGGTTCAAAGGGCTTTCGTCAAGGACAAACGCCATCTTCCACATTCACAAGATGCACATCCAAACGCCACAATATCTTTATTACTAGAGCGAAGAGCCTGTTTTGCAAGTAACACCTTTTTCCAACCCTTGGTCCGAATCAGTGGCGTCGCGAGCCCATAGCTTCGAAGTGGGCTATGAAACGAGAGGACCTTTACCATTTTTCGGCGTTTGCCGACGTGCGGTGTCTGGGCTTGCCGGAGACATTATCGAAAACAATAACTTTCGTAACTTAAAATAATAAAAAAAGATGTAGACCTAAGAGCGAACGATATGAAAGAAGCGGGTTAAGCAATGTTCAAAAGACAAAAACGAGCCTTGAACCCGTCGATGCTACAGATTGTTTCACAATAAACTGTCGATTTTGATGACGTCTGGCCAGACCGTAGGGACTTTGGACCCGTACCTCGACTTTTTTTGAATATTTCGGAAAATGAACGATGTGTGTAATCCAGGACGGCGAATACGCTCGCCGCAGGTCTTGAAAGTGACAGAAATGTTTTGATAAGGGCTGTGGCACCCAGGGTTGTATGTGGCCCCAGGCCTAAATCGACATGCCCAAATCTCCTCAGATTGCCACAACCAACCAGCACTATGTAGGAGCTCAAAAATGCGAGAGAGGGGACTAGCGGCCGGCGGGCAAGCGAAGACGGCCGACGAGATGAGGACGCCCTAACGCAATCGCGGCGCGTGGACCCGTGGCGCAGTGGTTAGCGCTGCGACTTTCCGTTCTAACGGCTCTCTCTTAAGGTACGTCTTTCAACGGTTCGATTCCGCCGCGGATCCGTATTTTCACGGCCAACTCCTGGGGGCGGCGATTGAGCCTCCAACACGGTGCAAGTCGGCGGACTCTCCTGTGCATTCCGTCGAATGCTGACCTCCGAGGAACAAACCCGCGAGGAGGAAGGAGGAGATAAGGAGGAAATCATAATTGCTTCACTAGTACGGATCGGTGCGTCCCCACTGCGAGTAGCAGTGACCCAACGCATAACTGGACAATGACGTATCGACCCCCAGCAGGACGGGACCGCCCGCGCAAATACTGGGAGTCGGCGTCACTGACGCGGGCAAAGGCCTAGGACTTCTTGTCCCCGGGCGATGCAACTGCCGCAGGTTTTCATCAGCTTCGTAGTTTTCACTATGTCCTCGTTATTTGAAGTAGAACTGGCAAACGGATAACAGATAAAAATCTGTCAAAGACCTTGAGTACGACGTTTGAGCAGCTTGGAAGACGTCGCAAATCGCTGTGTGGGACAGCTGTCTCATATAAAGCAGGTCGGCTTTTTAGGTTTATTGCGGCGACATCCGCGATGTCTTTTGCGAAAACATCCGTCGTTGAACGCTAATGACCATCCCGTATTTTTCGCGTACGAGGCAAAAGAGAATAAGAAGCCTCGAGGATGTATGTACTGCTGGGCCTTGGCGAATGCTAACTGCTTAGTTCATGTAAGAGTAGCGCTTAAGACGGTGTCACTGAAGGCTCTCACTCGTCCCATAATGAATCGCTTGGATCCCGCCCATCCCCGATGCCGATTCCGAAGCGCGTACAAGAAATGCTGCCGCAAGCAGGCTTTTCGATGAATTAAAGCTGTAGAAGTGCAGAACTCTCACAACTGCACAACGACGCTGATAAATTTTTTTTTGGCTACGTTTGCTACCTTTTACCAGAAGGCCTACCATGAACATGCGTTTACTATGATTACACCAAAGTTGCCCTTTCGAAGTATGCAAATCCGTCGGTACCCTTACCTATTTATTTGTGGGCGCCGGCCTCCGGCCGGTGCCGAAAAAATGCCTTGATACCCCTATGGTACATTTCCGGGGTTCTCCGGTAGTGTCTGTTTTATGGGTTAAAACTGCCCTTTTGATTAACTTCAATACAATGACCCACCGCAGACACCGTCAGAGCGGTTTTTGAGGCTCATTGAGCACACTGCGGTTGAAATTTTGACGCGTTCATGGGTTTACAAGGCGGTTCAAAGGTGTTGTAGCCTCTAAAAACCCGCCGCAGGCGAAGCCAACGCTTTTAGGTAGAGCAGATGACAGGTTTCCGTTGAAAATACTCTTTTTCGTCTAATTATTTAAAATTTTCTAAAAGTACCTTAGTCCCCCTTTCCGAGGCACGTCAGATAAGCACCTGGATGTGTATGTGATCCAGACTCGCCAGTTTTCCGACAAAGGTGGCCTTATTTACAAGTAAACACTAGGCGCAAAGAACGTGTTATTTTCGTCCTGTGCCTTTAATTATTATGAATCCTCGCCATCTGTGCAGCTTCAAGACGACGTTCGACTGGGATGCCCGCTTTTCCGTTCCCGGGACATTTCCATCCGCGGACGTCCCGGTATCGACAGGTTTTTTTTATGCACGTGCCGCTATATTCGTTCATGTCTCAGCAACGACTCAATGTGTGCAGTGATTGCACTGACCCGGAATTATTCGCACTGAACTAAACTTATCTGAACTGAAGGTCAAAGTCAGTTCAATTCTCTAAAAGTCAGTGACTTTGGCGGTTCATCGCAAAATCAAAACCCGCCAGTTGTGTAGGGGGGGGGGGTGAAAAAGTGTTT